ACAGCTGACCATCCGCAGACGGACGGCCAGACGGAGCGCGTCGATCGAGTGCTCGAGGACACTCTGCGCAGTGTGTGCGCGGGGGGACCACGTACGTGGTCGACGCAGCTTCCAGTTGGTGCGTTTGTGCTCAATAACCTGGTCCACGGGTTTTACGCCGTTCTACATGTATGGCTTCCGTCGCCCTCGGAGTGCCTCTGACCCTTAAGGGGGACCTGCATCCTCGATTTTAAGTGTGGGGAGGCTCGTAAAGTTCTTCCTCTCAGGTACCAGATGTGAGACCGGTTTCGCTGCGGAAACAAGTGGGAGTTTTGGTGAATAAAGTTGAGTGTGATCAGCAGGGTCTGCGATGCAATGACGGCGGCCCAGGACAGCCAAAAAAGAAAGAGTACTCTAGCAATCATGGAAAAGCAAACTTAAATGTGTTTAGGGTGGGCCAATTGGTGTTATTAGATACTAGAAGCCTACCACTAACCACTGTTAGCTCCGTCGGCAGCAACAAGCTAAATCACCGCTTCATAGGACCGTTCGCGGTCCTGGTCAGCCATGGTGCGTCGTACACCATCGATCTGCCTAAGTCAAGAAAGACGCACCCGACGTTCAGCGTGGGATGTCTTAAGCGATACCATTATCCGTTGGGGGTTGCTGACTCGCAGACTCACCTTGGCTCAACCCCTCGAAGCGAGGCCCCGCCACAGATATCAACGAGGGCGCCGGAGCAGACACCCAAGTCTCGAGGCTGCGGTCGAGTCTAAACTCTGGAGGGGGCCCGTACTAACGGATCCCAGAGCCATACGCCGAGTGCGTCGGGTACGCACCATACGCGTACGGCTGGGAATGCGCCGAAGGCAGTCCCGGACGTTGCAAAAGAGCCTCAATACTTCAGACCATGCGGAAGGCCTCGTCAAGGTCGGACAAAGAGGCCCCACGGTCCACACGCTGATGCAGGCTCGAGTCCTCCCGTTCCAAATGAGAGTATCAAATGGGCGAAAGTAAGTATTTATTTGAAGTTAGCTGCTGAGTAGTTGCGATATCCCAGGAAGAATTTTTCCTGATTTTCTTCACTTATCCGTTAGATAGGAACGGAGCGATTTTTCCTCACGTGAGCATCGCCGGTGGAGCTATGTGACGCGAAGGATGAATGGTGTACGCAACGCGGCTAGCAAAATAGATGTATGTGACGGAACCAACATGTATAGCAGTCTTACCGTTCTTGGCTGTGCTTTGCTTCAGCGAAAGACCAATAAAAGATCGCCATTATTGCAAATGTTGGACACATTGTTGAAACTACGATTATTTCCGTAGCTGCTTGTGCACGGTGTTGCCTGGTTCATGATCATAAAGAGCGAAGGGGCATACATCTGCATAATTTTCGGAGGTTTTAAAGTATAATTAATTAAAAATGCTCTCTTATTCTATATTATACAGATTAATCCCTCGGGCTAAAGGAGCTAAGAGGGATTCAGCGCGGCGCGAGAAGCACGAGCCGGGTCACCTCCAAGCTGTATACATACAGCTGCTTCTTCTGGATCAGGGCCCATTTGTAAGCCCCTTAGAAGTGTGGACGCCGATAAGGCCACGAGGAGCGACGAAAGTCGCCAGAAAGTGGCCAGCCCTAGAGCTCACCTCGGGAGGCGAATACCCTCTTAAGTCGATTATAGCTCCCTGACTGGCGGGTGGAGCCACCGGACCCCCACGCATGCGCTGGGGGGCTTGGAAGTTATCCTGCTGCTGGCGTGCTAAGGTTGCCAAGGCCACAGCCAAAGACGACGAGCCCTCTAAGAAGCGCACGGCTTGAATTCTCCATTCCGAGGAGAAGGAGACTGGTTACACTTATCTGAGCCTCTTCGGCTCCTCGGCTGAAGAGGACCGAGAGGAAGAAGGGGGGGGGCTAAATGAGCCCAGGCAGATCTCGAACGATCTCGACGCAATACCCTCGGCGAGCGAGAGATGTTTGAGAGATTTCTCTTCCTCCTCGTCGCCAGCTTTGATCGAGCTCTTAGCATTGAAGGCAGGATTCCTAGAGCGCATAGACGTCCTGGGACTGTGATCTCCGCGATCACTAGAGAGCGAGTGTACGCTGTCATCACCGTACTCGCGGGGTGCTGGAGTGTGCCCTCCCACGAAACCTACAGTAGCATTGTGAGTGGTCCCGGCATCGGCCCAGACTTCACTACCTGGACGGAACTCACGTTCGGCGAATCGCGGGCTCGGTCGGTTGTCGGAAGAGACCAACGGTGACGAACCGCGGTGTTTGCTTGCGCGCTTGCTCGCAGCCGTGTCACCAGATCAGCCGCACGCCTCCGAGGCTACCTTAGTAGCCTCCTTGAATGCAGAGTCTTTGCCGCGAGGCTTAGCGCTCTTGGCTTGCGCATTTCTTACAGCAGCCTTGGAGTGTACTTTCGCACCGCTCTTCGCAGAGCTACGGGGCGCTCTTACGGTCGAAGCGGGGCCGAGAAGAAGAGCGCTCAAGTGCTGCTCGAGGCTCTAACTGTGAAGTGAACCTCCGCCGCGTTCTTGCAGACAACTCGATGCCTTTCGACTTTCAGAATGGGCGTTTGTGACGTACACTTCCTCATTCTGATTGGTCGGTAAACCCAACCTAAGTGGGGGAGGATGTAACGGGGTACGCAACATCATGTGTACCACTGGTTACAAAAAGCGTGACACATCACACTTCTGGATACATGGTACATGGTACCAGGGTAGACAGAGGTCATTGGCTGATGACCTAGCTTGACTAAAGGTGACTAGTATCTTATTTATTTAACTCAAGCTTAGCCTACCTATAAATACGATCAGCTTACAGCTTACCTTAAACTGATCACTTCGCTCCCTTCAGCAAAAGGGACCTGTGAACTACTGTTCACTGAGAGTTAGTATACTCTCGGAAGTCGATTTCCTCTAGCGCAAGGTGCTGTGTGACCCCGTCACAAAAAAAAACTAGTGTGTAAAATGAGCAAAATCGATTTCACAACTGTAAATAGGGGTACATGCAAATACTGTTTGCACTAACTTTAGCATAATTAACTACAGATTCATCCTGTTAGACATAAGCTTACGCTAATAAATATGCATCAGCTCAAAGCTCGTTTTCACTCTAGTCGCTGCACATTTTTTCTAAAGTCGGTGGCTGGAATAGATCGAACATTTGGTTAATGACTCAAAAATATCCAAAGATATTGTTGAGCTTGCAATTGATCAATAACGCTCGTCAGTTGTTCCGCTGAAAAATAATAAGTTTGGAACAAGTTCGGTCGTGCGATTCTTTATTTTTGCACATTCTCGCGGCCTAGTAATAGGCCTGAGACAATCCAGTCCCCAGTACTTTTCTACTGGATTGTGTTAATTCCTCTACTTCTTCAGTAACTTGGTGGGTGAAAAAATGGCAGTTCCTATTTATACTTACATCTAGTACTTAAAGAGGGAGCCTTGTTGAGTACCGCATCTCCCCTGTCCTAAGCGAAGTTTTGTCCTAAGCGAGCATCGAGTATGGCCAATGGCAGCGCTGTTTTGTTTTAAAGATGACTGTACGTAAACGTGTCCTTCCGCGAGCTAATTAGAGGCAGCAGTCTGATGGGGGTTTATAAAGAGGCAATACGAAGAGCGACAGTCTACTAGAACTGTTCGACCAAAATGCTATTAACTGCTAGCACCAGCGGATCCCTTTGGAATTAATGGAGGCAGGTCATTCACGAACGGAACATTCAACTGGATCAGCTTGGAGTAATTTTTACTTTTTAGCACTAATTGTGAGATTTGCTACTAATCTTACACGTAAACGTCGAACATGGGCGTTCGCTTAGGACAGGGGCGATGCGGTAATGCATTTGCGTTCTAGAATAAACAACTTGGTTTTGCCAAGACTCAAGGGATTGATGCAACAAATCTGCTTTCCATTCAGCTTTGAGCAGTTCACAACGCAATTTGCCGTCACCCTATCACCCGAAAGCAAGTCAAGGCTCGAAATGTTTAAACGTGCAGTGGTTATCGCTGTTGCTGCAGCTGTTTCCTTCGGAGCAATTACTGCGGACGACAACTTCGTCTACCTTCCTCCGATGAGAGCTCCATATGATCTTCCCGACCCGCCACGCCGACTTGTACGTGGGCAAGCTGCAACCGATAAGCAGGTTTGAAATGTCCGCTCTTCCGGTGACTCAAGCTTAAGCACGCACATTCCTAAGCTCGAAGATCTCAACATACATTACGTATCAAACGCTCAAGTCTTGTTCGATTTCCTGAGCTCGTTACAAAGTATGCCTAGTTCAGCCTTACCACTTTTTGATAAGGGTTCTAATACTTACGTACAGAATTATCACAGACATGATTTATTGTGCGTTTTACTTACCGTAGTATTCTGCCGTGATATTCTGTCGAAATTTACATCTATTTATTCTGTATCCTAGGGTCAGTCTATGGACTATCGACAGGTAATAATCGCGCAATTGAACCGGGGGGGGGGCCTACAATGCCAATGTAATAAAATTGGTTGTAGACTGTCCAGCTGTCCTCCCAGTATAGTCCCATTACCAATGCAGATTGAGCCGTGCCAACTTACGGCAACAGTACCATGTTTTAAATTAAAACTTATTAAACCTACTTGAAGTAGTAAAGTAAACAATTTGGTAACCCGTACAGTACTGCATCGCAATTCGTGGTAAACAGTTTGGTATTGCATTCTATACAGCACTTCAAGAGCTCCAAATATCCCGTGGGAGACTGTTAAAATATTTATTCTTCGATTTACCGCCGTGCCAACGCCTCAAAATCAAGTCAAGCCTTCAAGATGAAAAGACTCGCCACATTCATCGCATTTGCTGTTGTTGCTGTCATCTCCCTGACTGCAGTTAAGGCAGACAATAGCTGGCGATTGAACTCAACGCCATCGCCACCAGAGATTTACAACCCCAGAGCGCGTGTCTGAGCGAGGCCGTAAGCTCACATCCAAGCCCCATTAACACTGTCTTCCCAACCAATCGATGACAAAATTCGTTGTGCACTGTTCATGACGGTCACGTCACTTGTGTTTTTTATTATGCTTGGGAGTTTAAAACTGTAGCAATCTACTGCTTGGACACACCGTAGTCAGCACGGTAGGCACGAATGACCGGCAAGTACGAGGCGTTGGCGTCGGTTGCCGTGTCCACAGTCTCAAGGTAACCCACGAGGTTATCGAGCGTAGCGATACTGACCACGGGGATGCCGAAGCTCTCCCGCACTTGGTCAATAGCAGAGCGAGTGTCTTCGATCGAAACCTTCTCCTGACGGTCCAACGAAATGCACACGCCCGAGACTTGCGCGTTCGTCTTCTCCAAGATCCCGAACGCCTCACGAATAGCAGTACCGGCAGTGATCACGTCGTCAATAATCAGCACCCTAATAAAATAATAAAACACAATAATTAGTACAAAATTCACTTCGCACAGCCCAAAATTTCTCTTACTTCTTTCCAGTCATATCGGCACCAACGAGTACGCCGCCTTCGCCATGGTCCTTAGCCTCCTTACGGTTGTACGCGAAAGGGAGGTCCACCCCATACATATCAGCGTACGCGATGGCCACAGCCGCCGCCAATGTGATGCCCTTGTACGCCGGACCAAACAGCACGTCGAATTTCACCCCGCTATCCTGTAAATTAACCACAAAACTTAGAAAAACAATCACAAAAATTACCACTGTATCCAAAATCCAACGTACGTGGATCGCCTGTGCGTAGAACTTGCCGAGTTGGCCGAGCGCGCGGCCGGTACGGAACAGACCGGCGTTGAAGAAGTAGGGACTTTGACGTCCGGACTTGAGCGTAAAGTCACCGAACTTAAGCACGCCGAAGGACAGTGCGAACTTAATGAACTCGTTTGCACTCGAGTTGGCTACAGTGGTGGATGTAGCCACTTTGGTCTTGCGGACAGCGTTGATGGCGTCACGCAGAGACTCGGCCGCTTCCTTAGGGTTGGCAGCCTTGGAGATACCGCGCGATACCGGTACCAGTAGACCCAGGCCATCGGATGACAGACCGGCCGTCACCGCCTCCTCCAAGTTGCCACCTTGAGCGCCAATACCTGGCGCCAGGATCCACAGATTGGGCGTCACAGCGCGTACACGACGCAGTGCCTCGACATCTGTGGCTCCCACTACGAGGCCGACGTTGTCCTCCGAGTTCCATTGCTCGCACTTGGCAGCCACCTCCTCGAACAGCGCACGGGAGCCCACGGACAGCGTCTGGAAGTCGTTGGCGCTAGGGTTCGACGTCTTACACAGCACAAAGCAGCCGCGTTTCAGGGTGGCCGCGTACGAATGGATCGATAGAGTCTGCGCCCATGTACGGAGCCAACGTGATGGCGTGCGCTTCGAGCTTGTCAAAGGCGGAGACGGCGTACGCGGCGGCGGTGGTGCTAATGTCACCGCGTTTGGCGTCTAGAAGGACGGGGATACCGGATGGGATGGCCTTGATGACGGAGTGGAGCGCTGTGATGCCCTCAGCACCGAAAGCCTCGAAGAAAGCCGAGTTGGGTTTGTAGGCGGCCGCAACGTGGTGCGTCTGCTCGATGATGTTGAGGCAGAAGGCCTGCGCTGCAGCGGCCGTGGCCTCCGGTAGCTCTGCTACGTGAGGATCCAGACCCACACACAGGAGCGAGTCCACGGCGGCCACGCGGTCGCGTAGAGAGCTGAAGAAGCTGGCGGGCATCGTGATCTTGCTGGCTCGGTGTCCGATTTCAGAGTGACGGCTTGGCTGGCGAGCACATCTGCACTAAACCGCCTGTGGATTGGATGAAAAAGTGTTTGAATATTGGTGATTGGATGAAAGGCATGTCGAAGTTGATGTACGACTGCAATCGAACACGGCGTGAGAGCAAGCAACACGACATGAAGCCGACGCGAGGAGATCGCGTGAGTCAGCTTAAGAGTAGGATGGGACAATTGATAGAAATACATGGGTCAGCAGGCTGCCGGTCATCACAACAGGCGTGACAAGTTGCAGCCTTTGCACCATACCGAGAACACTTGTTCAGAGTCCGAATCTGGTCCAGATCGCATTTTACTTCAGCGTACGGATCAATTACAGGAGATGATGCATCTGCACACCGTCGTCATGATCGTCGTCACTAGTCTTCTAGCTGTCCGAAATGTTGTGTCGGCGACAGTTATCCAAAATAACGAGCATCCCAGGTCAACGTTGTTCGACCCACCCACTCGGCAGAACCTGAGGAATCACCACTATGAGAACGAGGTTGGTGACGTTGCTAAAGGCGAAGAACGGGGATTGATTCCTTGGAAACTCAAGTACAAGTTCTGGGTTTGGACCGGGGAAACCCCGAAGAGTGTTGAGATCAAGCTGGGATTAAAGGGTTTAGAAGACAAAGCGTACTTGCACCCGAACTACAAGCGCTATCTTGACTTTTCAAAACGCTGGTGGGACAGCCAGTAAGAACTGTAATCGGAGCTGCAGAGAGCTAAGGTATCACTTGAACCTCTACTTAACTGAAGCTGAAGATATTTGTGACATTGGGACAGTCAAACTTCGTGGACATTATTATTCGCTTGAACCAACTTCCCCGTGTACTTCTATCACGTCTTCCGCTCCTATATATCTCCATATGCCCTTGTCATTACACCTGGTATCCGCGCTTCTGTGCGCCCGCTAGTCTGTCGACAATCTCGCTAACTACAGGCAAGTTGAGCACGTTCCCTATCACGGGAGTCTGGCGCAGGAAAGCCAAAGCCACGGGGAAGAAGGAGCCGAAAAGGTTGAGGAAGCCGAAGCTCTGGATAATCATGCCGATCACAGGGTAGCGCAGCATGACCAGCAGAATGCCGCCCAAGAAACACACAATGCCCCGCCATCGCTCCTTGCGTGTGAAGAAACGCACCGTGCGTGATAAGCCAATGGTGAGCGCCACGCCGCTCAGGAACAGCACGTCACCAAGCGCCAGCATGGCCGCGTCGAAGATCATGAGCACGCCCAGCATCAAAAACATGAAGCCCAGACCCAGCAACAGTGTGCCGATCTTGCGATTGTCGTCCAGCATGTTTTAAGTCTCAATATCTGCCGCTGCACACGATTTAAGCAGGAATTTCAGCGAAACTGGTGCTCAATGCGTCGTCGTCGTCGTCGCGGACGCTCAGGGCTAGCAACAGCGACAAGTCCGAATAAGTCTTCTTGTTTTTGGAAGGGAGGAACCACCGTGGAGCAATGGGATTGGATTATATTGGGAACTTAATTGGCTGCATCTGATTGGTTGGTATTTTAGCCCAATGCTGTTTTCTGCGGTTTCCATGTCAAGATCTCGCTGAGCAACTTGAGATTATTTACTGCCAGTGTAAATGTGTTTCTTTTCGTGTTTTGCATAATGATGTTTGTTTGTTCAATGCGCTGCTAGGCGTGCTAAATAGTCTACAGCTTATTTGACTCCATGTTGCTGGAGTCGCGGTCCTTTTCCTCTTCAAAAATGCCGGTTGCCAGCTTCAAGCACTTGTTTGCTCAACGTTGAAGCTGGACACTGCGACGAGGAAGACTGAGACGAATTGGTCGAGAGGGGGCAGGCACGCGAAGGTCTTCGAAGTCCTCGTGGCCAAGCGTCCCCAGTGAGAAGGCTCATATGGCGGTGATCGTCGCTCTCCCGCTTAATTTTACGGCGGACTCCATTAATATTCTCCAGAGGACGAGGACGACGACGCCGTGGGTGATGCGGCTGCTACAGCTTCCTGAGGATTGGTCTGTTGTTCGTCTTCATCCTGACTCTCGTCCGTGGACGTGTCTTCGTCACCAGAGGCTCCAGGCAGCAAGTGCGACATCCGCTTCGCCTTTGCTGTCAAGTATCCTTGGCTGAACTCGCCGCCTTTGATCACCACAGGCAGTCGGCCCTCGACAGTGATGCCAAGTTGACTCAGTAATCGGATCTTGCGCGGGTTGTTGGTCAGTAGTCGAATAGACTGGACGCCCAGGTCCTTGAGGATGGCCGGCACAGGCTCGTACGAACGATAGTCGTCCTTGAAGCCCAACACGCGGTTGGCGTCTACCGTATCTAGACCGCGTTCCTGCATGGAGTAGGCCATGATCTTATTGGCCAGACCGATCCCACGCCCTTCCTGTGGCATGTAGATAACCACGCCACCGTGCTGCTTGGTGTACGCCTTGGCGTAGTCCAGCTGGTCCCTGCAGTCGCACTTGAGGGATCCGAACACTTCCGACGTGAAGCACTGGTCGTGCACGCGGACTGGCACGTTGCGTTTGCCGCGCACGTCTCCGGTAATCATGGCGATAGGCTCGCTCTCACGTAAGGAGCCCACAGAGCGGTACGCGCGTACGCGGAACATGCCGCCATCTGTGGGTAGCGCTGTCTCCGCCACAAACGTCGTGGTGACCTGGTCGCCTAGACACGTGAGGCCCGGGGCGTTGGCGTCCAGAACCGGCACATGCTTGAAAGTGGTCTGCGCGATGTCCGCCACGGTCTTCTTGGACTTCTGCAGCTGCGTCATGGGTGTTGAGTCTATTAATCTATACGTGCACGACCCCCAACGCGGTGAGAGACAGCCTGATGGTCTCGTTGTGGCGCGCTCGCTCTCGCGCTTTGCCGTCTGACTCGGGAGCACCTTATGGCCTGGCGGACTGATTGGGAAGTGAGCAGGACACGCAATCACTCGACGGTGGGTCCGAAGGGAGCCTGCGAGAATCAATACTTTTGAGATACGATGCATTGAATGCTGAAGGCTAATGTGGACTGATAGGTCATTTCTTACGAATTTTTGTCGCTGTTTGGAAGCGTTGTCGACGGGCAGCCCGTTTGGCTATCCAAACGAGTAAGTACATGTATATTATAGTAGCTGCTGTGAAGCAGTTGACGGACCGCAGCGACGTATTCAACTATCTATTGCGATATATTGCCGCGAAATTGCCCAGCTTTAAAATCGAAATTCGGACGATCTGCCTCGACGGTTTTCGCGACCTTTCAGCAAGCACTCCACACCAGTCATGTGCGTATATTTCGGAGGGGCTCTAGCTAAATCTGGCGCTGTTACCACTTGACTGGCTTGCATAATTATTCGCGATCTCGACGAAGCATAAGGTTTGCCAGGTCCGCGGATAATCGAGCGGTTCGTAGGGGTCTTCTATTCGAGGCACGATGATGACGCATAGCAAATGCTGACGATCGACACTTGAGGTTTCCGATCGATGATTGGTTGAAAGGCAGGTCCAGAGTATTATAAGGAGAGATTTTTGGCTTTTTGGTCTGCTTTACATGTATTTTGTCAAATTTGTTTTCGTAATCGCAATAGTTGACGCTTCAGAATTGAAGGAGTGATGGTCTTGCAAGCTGCCGCCGAGAGCCATCCAAAGCACTCTATATTTTTTAGCGAACACAAAAAATAGGATGTGAAGCGCCACAGACGCAGAAAGGGTCACCAAAAGAAAGAGCAGTACACCACACCAAAATTAAGTGTCGTTTCGCAAAAATCTTTTCTCTCCACAAATAGATATCGCTAGCCACTACTATTAAAATAGTTAAGAGCTTAGCTTCCCGGCATCTAAGAAATTTAAAAATTAACAGCATTGTGAGTGGAGCATCGATACAATGGAGAATGATCACGGTGGCCGTACAGGACGTCTTCCGTGGCATGAAGTGTGGAAATCTGGTGATCCTGTCCTTTTTGATGACTTTCTGGCAGGATTGCCGAGCTTTTCACGGCCTACAAGTGAGCTACACCACTGCACAATTGATCACGTTGAGCGCTACGAAGATGAGCTGGCTGTAACATGGCATGAAATGCGGTATATCGTAACTAAATGCAAATCACAGCGCTGCAAAGCCACAACACAAACATGCACTTGTCGCTATAAGTTTTTGGAGTGTCAAGAAAGTGATGGAAAAATTATATTCGAGCAAGGGGGTCATGCGATGGCCGACGATGCTCCACCATCCCCCATTGCATCTAAGCTGACCGCCGAGATGAAGTCCTATCTAGATGTCAAGCTAAGCGACTCTCCGTCTATGGTAGCGCAGGCACTGTACGCATTCTTGTGTCGTGATATTAAGGATGGGCGTATCGGCGGACCTACCCCGCAGCTTGCACAGGTCCAAAACTATCAGAAAGGATGGCGGCGTAAAAACCGACCGGATAGTATGGACCCCGTGCTGGAGATTTGCCGTCAGCGAATGTACGACAGCGAGCGTTCACATTCCTGGCAAACAGACCCAGAATACTGTGCGACACAAAAGTTGTGGACGGCGTTGTGGAGCCTGCTCTTGGCACGGGGTCTCAAGGCAACCCATTTCGCATTGGTTTGACGTGCAAGCGGCTTTTAGAGCGTTATGTTGAAGTGCAGCAGGACCCGTCTCTAACTACGCTACTGCACATGGACACAACACACAACTGTGTGAAGCAGAAGTACCCTGTTTCTGTATTGGGCTTTTCAGATCGCAGTGGAGCCTTCTTGCCAATTGTGTACTGGTGCACATCTCAAAGGCGCAAAGAGGATATTGTTTGGTACCTTTCCTGTTTAAAAAGAATCATGTTGAAGGAATTTGGGGTGCCATTCTCGCCTGACTTTGTCATGATGGACGCAGACAAGGCCCAACATAACGCCTGCACCGCAGAGTTACCTGGAACCACCATTTTGATGTGTTGGTTCCACGTAACACAGAATGTGTTTAAACATGCACATGATGCAAAGCTGGATTTGTCGAAGTAAGCATCTCCGATGTGATGATGACTATCTAGTGGAATATAACTGTACTATTTCATATAGAGAAATCGTACATAACTGGACTGGTTGGTGGAGAGTAACTCCCCCACCAGAACACCAGACTCTATAATTCATCACTTCTTCTTTTACCAAGTCCACCACAAGCGTCTTCTCCTTCTACACTCAAGACTTCCTCTCCATTATGGCCGCCTAAACCACTCTACTTTTGTCCTCACTCCGTACTGTACTGCCCTAACAACTCTGCGCAAATCATCCCTCCAACAGGTTATAAGCCCAACGTTTCTCCAGGGGCGAGCTGGACGCTGCAAGACAACACACCTCCAAGCCGCATGAATGGCCAGGGGCACAAGGAGGTGAAGGAGACCTGAGTGAGAAATCGCTGGACGGACACTTGCCTGCGTTAGGCCACGTTGCCAACTTTGCGCCAGCCACTGAGCTGTAGCGCTGCATGTGCAATAGATCGCCATGCTGGGAGGCCATGTTGCCCTCTACGCCAGCAAACGAGCTGCACGCGGTGAGCAGCACGTCTGCCACGCGGTATCGAGCCAGAAGAGAATCTCCCTGGACTCCGTACCATACGCACTGCGTATTGAGCCAGAGGAGAATCTCCCTGGACTCCGTACCATACGCACTGCGTATTGAGCCTACGAAGCAATAACACTTTTTTGCATGAGCAATGTCTCTGTCAATTGACTAAATAGTGTGCATGCTTCTCACTACTTCGAAGTATAATAAAATCCGGAATACAATCCGAAGAGCCACCAGGAGAGAAAATTACCCCAAAGCTGTGAGCTAGATAAAATGTGAGTGAAGTGTGCTCCTAATATTGCTTTGGTGCAAGCATTGTTACCTAGCTGCTCAAAACATATTTATGCCACATTCACAAAAGAAATTTATAAATAAAATCATACATGCAATTTGCAAGATGCAAAAACAAAATTGCAAATTTCACAAAGGCTGCCTAGCTTGTACGAAGAAAAAAATTATATACCCCAAACGTTGAGAGAGAAATACTTAATGAAATGTATGAAACTGGGAGGCATCAACGCCAAAAACTATTCATGCATTCGCCAAACTTTAACATTTATTGTCACTGGCAAAAGTTTCAAACATTTCCAGCATAACAGTACCAAAAGAATGAGAAAAAAATCAACACTTTATGACTACAAGACAAGCCTACAGAAGCCTCTGTCTACAGAAAGCAAACTATAGTTTTACTGCATCAATTCCATCTACAATGAATTCGATAGTTTGCAAAATCTATCGCTAGCGCTTGCGAAGTAAAAATAAAATTATAAACTTCCAAACGAGAAACAACTCGATGAGCCTCTAGGGAGAAAAATAACCCCAACGACGAGAGCCTGCACACTTACTGCAAATATGATGCGTACGCTACCGATGACACTGTTTGATGTTATTTATGCTTTTAAAAGCTGTAGCCTTTCTTCAAAAATATTTGAAAACTATGAGCTCTCAATAACAATAGTCAGAACAAATTGAAAATGACTGCAGCACCTATATCAACCATTTCATGAAATTGGGAGGCAATTCTATAAGACCTCAGCAGCGAAAAAAAAAAAACCACACATTGTAAAGAAATATCCACATATAAAAGAGCAAAACAATGGCAGTTTAAGAAATGAACAAAGCTAAAACGCTTACACAAAATATATAAAGATAAATACGGTGATCAGGTGTATCCTCAAAGGTTTCCTGAGTAGCCAACAACAGAGCGAGCAGGTTTTGATCCTTAAAATTAAAGGTTTTCCTGAGGTAGCTTCTACAAATTCGTAAAGCTAAAACGATAACAGCAACAATTCAGCGAACAGGTTTTGATCCTTAAAATTAAAGGTTTCCCTGAAGTAGCTGCTACAAATTCGTATAACTAAAACGATAGCAGCAACAATCACTACGGTGAACAGGTTTAATCCTCTAAGGTTTTCCTGAGTAGCCAAAATAACAATGAAAACAAGAAATCAGCACAGTTATTGCCAAAGCAAAACGGCACAAGGTGACAAATCTGACAATGAAAGTCAAAGGAAAAAGATCATCAATATCAAAACAAGATCTACTTCTTGTAAATGCTCATGTACGTACAGGACTGTTATAAACAGCCACCTGTGGTACATTAAATACTATCCGACAGATAGAGCATCATACACATTCCTCGATGTGGGAGGCTGTCGAAGTAAGCATCTCCGATGTGATGATGACTATCTAGTGGAATATAACTGTACTATTTCATATAGAGAAATCGTACATAACTGGACTGGTTGGTGGAGAGTAACTCCCCCACCAGAACACCAGACTCTATAATTCATCACTTCTTCTTTTACCAAGTCCACCACAAGCGTCTTCTCCTTCTACACTCAAGACTTCCTCTCCATTATGGCCGCCTAAACCACTCTACTTTTGTCCTCACTCCGTACTGTACTGCCCTAACAACTCTGCGCAAATCATCCCTCCAACAGGATTTGATTTCGGTAAGGATGATTTTCAGGAATCTATATGATTTGCACTTTTCACGCGATGAACAACAGTATCTTCGAAAGCGAGAATTTGTTCTGAGGTCATGGCGCGGCGCTGGTGAACTAAGTCCTCGTTTTCGGCGTGTTTCAAACCACATTATTTCTCAATGGATTACGGGGGCTCGCTTTTCGCGTTGGCAAGTTTACCACACACCTACAGGGTATGCTACGACCAACAACCCATTGGAGCAATATCACAAAACTTTAAAAGTTGTAAATGACAGTCAGCGTGCAAATCCTGCCGAACTCGTTGTTCGCTTGGATTTATCACGTATTGTGCATGTATCATCAAAGATGACTTTTGTCGATAGAGCAATTGTGTCGAAAAGATTGCTTGCTGCGTATCGAAGGACCGACAAAAAAAAGGTGTGGGATGCAGAAGTGGTACACCGTGTACAAGATTCGGTGCTCGTGCGTGTGGCTCCGATTTCCGCTGGTTCTTTCCAGGACAGTACACTTGAGGACTCTGTACTACCTAAGTCAGCATGCACGTACGAGTCTAAAAACTACGCAAGGATCATGTGGGAGAACATGCCGACCGGTGGATGGATCGTAGATGCAGCAGGTCGCACATGCATGTGTCTATGCTGGAACAAAGCTGGGGTTTGCTTTCATGTAATGAAAGCGACTCAGTTTGCTGGGCTCTCTTGCTCTGGAATTCCCATGCAGTCACAGAGATTCGAGCGCCCAGTTCACCAGCAAAGATCTGTGCGGAGATCGGCTAGGGATGGTGAAGATGCAGCTGGTGTCGCAGCGGGGCCAGAAGCAGGTTTCCCGGTGTATGGTCCAGCGACGTTGGCAGATAGCCAGGACATCACTGATACCAGAGCCGATGCGCCGCGCAACGCGAGTGCTGGTCCGGTAAGTCACGTCGTGGGTGTAGCTGTTGCTGCGGCCAACCAACGCGAAGAATCTTTCCTTCATTTACCGCGTTTGGAGACTCCAGTCACTAATACTCTGCGTAGATCCCATCGGTCTAGGACTCCCACGCGTAGAGCACGTGAGGCAATGTCTCAAAACAAGCGTAGACGCAGGTGAAGGATCGGCCTTATGCTCCGAAAGAACAGGCTCCGCTCCGATCATTGTGAGCCGATCATACTCTATTGCTCTCTACGTAACATCTGCCAATCATTTTTCTCTTTACATCCATTCATGCACTTGCACTGCAAATTGCAACTTTTGTTTGTTCCCACATTTAGTTTTTTGCGCGAGCAGGCCGAGAAGAGTCTGAATACGTGTGAGACCGCATCTTCCAGATCCGTCAGTGTAGGACATTGCAAACGACGTTATCCTGCACTCGTACGGTATCTTCCCCAGCGCGGCAAGATGCGCACGGACGTCTTTAGCGACCAGCTTTCAAGCGCGCTGATTTTACGGAGAAGCGATTCCGACTGTTTGAGCGAAGGATGTCGTGATGCATTTAGTGGAGAGTGGACATCTCTTGCTGCATCAACGATTCCGAGCTGCGTTTGTGGAGCGATGGGTAGCGGCAGAGGTGATTGGATTGTCTGACGGCGACGAGAACGGGATCATCAGTGGGCGTTTACGTGCTCTTCAGTCGTGCATGGATCTGGTTCAGTTGCTCAGCTACAAGCGCGAGTTCGTGTTTGATCAAGACGACTGCTCAGTGGCCAAGATGTACATCGAGCACACTGTACTCAGCATGGACGCCGGCACAGGAGCTGACGTTCGTGGTATCAAGCAGCAGGTGGCTGCGAATTTTGAGTCACTGCGTATTGAAGTGGCGAGTGAATTCTATAAAGAGTACGCAGTGCACTTACGTACGCTTGGTTTCCGACGTCTTCGGACGCTAGCTACCAGCAGGAGCCATGCACGTGCCTTCCCTGCGGACCCCAGCGCAGCAAATGAGATCGACATACCTGTCAAAGAAGGCTTCTCCGAGTACTTTTACCACCCGGTAAGAGCTGCAGCGGAAGCGGCTGGGTGGACGAATAGTGCCCGCCTATGGAACCCAAGAAGTCCAGTACACCAGCCCCAACGTCGTCACCGTGCAGATCTTACTCCGATACATCGCATGTCATGGCTCACGCTACCAAGTGTTAGACCTACTGCAGTTTGGTACACCGGATGCAGTCGTGTGTCACTCGTCATCAGGAAGTTTTTGTGTACTACCGGTGGAGCGGGCTCTGCAGGAAGCTCAGCTCTTCACGCGAGAGTTGTTCCGCGTTGCTGCTCAACACTACGAACGTGATTTGCTGTGATCTCGCCTGCTGTTTGATGACTCACGTGGCCCTGATGCCGATGTGGCTCGCACGTTGGCGCTTCCGGCGGACTTGTTCCGAGTGGATGTGGGCCCACAGCAGCTTGAAGAGTGTCTCAAGCTGTCTATCTGTACGCCTTTGGAGGTGCTGGACCCGCGACTGGACGAGCTGCTGCGTGTATCTGGCGTGTGCTTGACACCAGGCTCGGTATCTTCTCCGTGGCGCTTGGTCGGGTCGCTTGAGCTCGTTATATAGTCGTGGCTAAGTTCA